CCACCCACTTAGGGCTGCACTCTCAAGCAACCCGACTCTAAGGAGAGATCCTCCCGAGACGCGTACCAGTCGCTACGGGCCTGGCACCCTCTGTGGGTAAATGGCCCCATTCAAGATGGACTTGGACGCAGTTCGACGTCTCGGGATAAACGGATCCTCCCGAACACTACATTTCCCAGCGGCCAGTAGACCGCGGGATTCAGTGCTGGGCTAATTCCTGTTCGCTCGCCGCTACTAAGGAAATCCTTGTTAGTTCCTTTTCCTCCGCTTAGTAATATGCTTAAATTCAGCGGGTAATCTCGCCTACTCTGAGGTCGTCTGTACGTTTCGTGTAGACTCGTACGAGAGACGGTAGGAGAAACAGAAAAAAAATAAAAAAAAAAGAAACGAGAGAAGGTGGAGAAGACTCGCGTGCTTCGCACACGCGCGTCGGCGTTCGAGTTGTTTCTTCAAAAAAATGTGCGTTCGATATACAAGATGATAAAAATAAATTCGATGGACGGAGAGAAAGATCTAGAGATCGAGACGCTTCGTTCGAGCGGGGTGACCTTTTTCGAGGCACCTCACCCAGAGCGCGACTTCGTAAACACGCCTCTCGTTGTTGTGAAAACGTTCGATTCGATTCGAGACGCTCGCTGGACAGTCGCTAAACGTCGTCGGGTATTTAACGTCCGTTCTCTAAGAGCCGCGCGCGAGCGTTGAACACCTTCCAGCGGTTCCTCTCTCAGCGGACTGGGAGGAACTCACGCGAGTGGAAGGGAAAACGCCCGGCGCGAGCAGTTTCCGGGAACTGGACGACCGACGACGCGGACTGCGCGGTCTCGAGATCGACAACAACGAAGACGCGGTACGACGCACCCGGGGGTGACCGGATCACCGCCGAGGATTGTCTCTCCGTGAGATTCGCGCGTGGCTCTCTGCGCTACCGTGTTTCGCGTCACGTTCGATCCGCGGACGTCGCTCGACAACGATCGATCTCGTCGAGCACGCGACGAAGCAACGGCCTCGCCAAAGAGGATCCGGTGATTATTTTATCACCGGATCCCTGGGGCCGTGCGAGCCGCGTTGCTCGTTACGAGTAACGAGCGACGCCACACGCGGTAAACGCGAACGGTAAACGCGATCGCACACGCGCGACTCGTCTCCTTTTCTCTCTCTCCTCCGTTCTTGTATCTCTTCTCTCGAGACTAGTTCTTTCGTTCTCTGTTTCACGCTTCCTCTCGAAAGCTACAATTTTCGTTTCGTTTCAGACGACGTCGGGGGCGCGGTACAAGTCGAGAGGCGGTAGGGTGCGTGCGTGTCCGCTTCGATTCGATCGGACGATACACACGACTGAACCACACACAACACGATTCGAGGTTCGATTCGAGTTCGTGCATCGTAGCGGCGGCGGTGACTCGGCTGTTACCGTGCGTGCGAGACGATCGAAACCGTACGAGAGAAACATAAAAAAAAGAGCGAAAGATCGATTCGACGTGCGTACACACGAAGCGGTGCGCCGTTTCTCACCGTGTTTCGCGGTCGCTGTTACGCCGTAGCTAACAATCACGACACGCCTCAGGCCACGATAGAGAGTTGACGCACTCACGCAGGTCCGTGATACGCACAGGATACTTTCCTCGTATGATTTCCTCGACGCGAATCGAATTCGCTCGCGATAACTGCCACGCACCACGCGCATCGCGCGTACAATTGCCAAGAACAAGATAAAAGTGTGCGTGTTTGGTGGTCTGTGTAACGAGTGTCCGAACGGACACGCGACTGACACTCTACCAGACTCTCTCGCCGCGACGAACGCCGACGAACGTCCAACAATCGCTCGTACGACGCGCATACGAAACTCTCCCCTGGCCGTCCGCTCGGGACGGAGAGAAGAGTCCGCGCGCGACGCAAGCAGTCTATGGTGTACGTGAACGACCCTCAGCCAGGCGTGGTCCAGGAATTGTATCCGTGGACCGCAATGTGCGTTCGAAATGTCGATGTTCATGTGTCCTGCAGTTCACACGTTGACGCGCAATTAGCTGCGTTCTTCATCGACCCACGAGCCAAGTGATCCACCGTTCAGGGTAATCGTATATTTGAAAATTCGTTATGCAATCTCTTGGTGTTACTCTTTCTGTCGCAGCCCGTAGTCAGAGTACGGGCTGCTGCTTTTGGTTCGCAGTGAAACCGATACCCAGGAGCACGCTCCCGAGGGCACGGGGAAGAAGCAGCGACGAGGACGGGGATCCGTTTTCTCGTCGACAGAGCAAGCAGCACGCGGAGCGGTGGTACTAGCGCGCGGTGCGCGGTGCGGTCGACGCAGTGTTCCGTGTTAAACTATTATAGTTCAACGAGTTCGAGAAACACGCGCGACTCGACACACGCTGGCCGGCGCTGTGACACACTCACGCGGGTCCGTGGCTGCTGCTGTCGGCTCCGGATCTCGTTCAAAAGACACTCGCGCACGTGGTCGGGACAGAGAGAGGATTAGGTAGAACGCGTGCGGCGAACCGTAGGAGACGGCCTCGCGGAGCGGTTCTTTCATCACGGGCGGTCGGTGGGTGCGTACAGTCAAAGATCGATTCGACAGACTGTACGACACGCAGACGACTCACGCTGGCCGCGAAGAAGAACTCTCGCAGGTCCGCGAGCGTCTCCGTGGCGTCTTGCGCACACGCGAAACGTACCTCTTTTCAAATCTCTTTCTTCCTTTTCCACGTGCAACGTATGCACAGCGTTCGACAATCCTCGTTCGGAAACATCGCAACGCGACGAACGACTACGACTGACTGACTGACTGAAACGACGACGAAGCGGTGCGCCGTTTTCTCACCGTGTTTCGCGGTCGCTGTTAGG